CTTAACGAGATTAAATGCGGGAGAATTGGTTTACTGGAATATATTATAATCTGCTTCGATCAACTATTGTTTATTTCTTTATCATATCAAGGGTCAGTTTAAAGTTTAACAGCTTAAGTATAACAACTTTTAAACTAGAAAAATCTGGTGGCCACAGATAAATTTATTCAAGTAGTGACTAAAAAGAAAGAAACGGTGATGGTTACTTCTTGACATCAACCAAGTGTGCGAAACCTAACCCATGAGTAACCGCAGTTTACAAACCTAACATCCCTCTGAACACTTGACAAACGGTTCAACCAAAACAAGTTTCAAATGTAATCCAGCAACCCATATTATAGGCGACTTATATATATTTTTTATTTTATTACCATAGGATAATAAATTCCAATAAAAATATGTGAGGGAGTTCCGTAAATACTGTGAACAGCATAGACATTCGATTGTTGATAAAAAAACAAGGCAGATCATTGTGGTGGCGCTGGCGGCGTAGTCACGTGGCACAGAACGCCTATTGTTGTGCAATAGACAGGCATATCTAGGGCTGCCGCGGAAAAAACCAAACTATTTTCCTAACATAAAATCCTTAGATTGATGACGAAAAAAAAGTTGTTTTTAACAGACTATGACTTGTTTCACACTACCCAATTTATCGCGAACCAGTACCCCGATTATGCACCATTCAAACTCGGAGAATTCCTGTAAAGCTCGAAATATTGGCAGCCCTAGGAATACCGCACCGTGTTTACTGCAATGAGGCCTATTGTGTTGGTCAGAATATATTTCCCTACATTGGTCAGTCTTAGCGTGAAATATTTGACTACAATAACCAATTCTAAATGCGACATAGAAACTCTGGCCGGTGTAGACTGCATTCTACTGTTATTTATGAATAACAAAAATTACTGTGCGCAGTAGAAACTAAAATAAAAAAGCTTGTTTCAAATTCCCACAACCACGTCAACCCCAATAGTGTTCACATAAGAAAAAAGTATGCCAATTGCAGCTGTATAACACACTATATTCACATACTAAATATTATATAAACCCGTAATACAATTGATGACTCTGTTCAAAATAATAAACACGTCGAGTAACAAAATTCCAGTTGAAATAGCTACATAATACTTGCAGCTATTTTATAATCGGATTAAACAAATAACAAAGCTTCATGGTAAGTAGAGCCGGCCACGATGAAGGCGATTTCATTGTATTAATAATAATTAACTTTAGTTATTTAAAGAAGACTAGCTATCGCCCTCGACTCAATACGTGCTATATTAAAAACAAAACTTAAAAAGTAGACTATCTGTTCTTCCTTACTAAGTTTTACATCTGTGCCAAATTTCATCGAGATCCATACAACCGTTCGGGAGATATCTTCTAACAAACATCCATCTATCCATCCATCTAAACTTTCGCATTTATAATATTAGTAAGCTAAGAAGACCAAAATGCGATGATACGATGAGGAAGATCATAATAATGTACTGATGATCCGACCAATATTGCAAGACTACGGTATAAAAATGGGCAGGGGTAAACTTTTGTGGTTAGTGTTAGGGCCGCCACATTTCGGGTTTGTATGGTGCATCGGGCTACGTGTTAAACATTGATGTCTTCTTGACGTTTAAATGTTGAAAGCCCTAATACCAGCAACGCCATTTCGATTGGTAGGAAAAATATATTAATTTGAAAATATTATAGCTAGAATATTACTTTTGTGTTCAAAATTCCTTTGTCTTATGTGGAATACAGGTGTTTGACCAAGATATTTGTCGCTGAGCTAAAGCGTGTCACGCTGTTGTCACGTCGCTTTACATCCATTAGCGTGTTGTTCAACACGTCGCCAGCTTGCGACACCTTATTATAATGTTTACCAAACTATTTATGCTTCTATAATTTGTATTGTTAAGATTAAACAATGTTTATATCACGTCATAAATTTAGTTTTAAACATATACAAAATGAGATAATCTGTGAAAACATGAAAGCTATTCACGAAACTATACAAAAGAAAAATTCTCAGGATTGGATACATAGGATTGTGCATTAAAGTGACAGTGTGTACCAACAATACGCACAAATAAATAAAAAATACTTAATTAGTAGCCTTTATATTCTTTTAGGCTTTGTTCTACATCTATGCCAAATTTCATCGAGATCCTTGCAGCCGTTCTGGATATAAATGGTTGTTTGTTACAACGTATCTACATAACGGCTAAATGGAGCTCGATAAAAGTACAGATGTAGAACACAATCCGGAAGAACACATAAGCTCCTAATTATTTTTTTTTCTTTATTTCGGAAGGACGGAGTCGCGGACAACAGCCAGTATTGGCTATAAGGTCAGTAAAATAACCGTTACTGACATATGAGTAAATACATAGATATAGAAAGAGATAAGCCATGGACGAGGTTAAAGCTGTATCCATTTTGTTTGAATTTAAGGAAATAAACAATTAATATAATACATGTTATAAAGAACAAATTTAAAAAGGTAATTGAACTGTATATAGTGCAAGTTTTTTTTGTATAATAATATTGGCGTACTTTTATTTTAAAAAAGATAGTGGTTATTTTAAGAACGAATGTGGACCTCATTTTTTCGTCATAATAAATAACGTTCAATGAACGCATTCAAATTAAATTCCCGTATAATAAGCATTTGTCTTTCTGTTGGAGTTGAAGACCTGAGGAAATTCTAAGAGTCAGAAATGTCAGAACAGACACGTGCCTCATTACGAGGCACCTGAAGACACAACTGGGTTCAAAATTGACCTGAAGATGGTCAACATCGTGTGCCAATTGCCGTTTAACTTCGATTGTCCTGCAAACTGGTTCGTGAATTGAACGCATCCGGCAGACCCGGTAGGTACCATTCCAGTTTGGTCTATACCAGTCTTAAACACTTCTTTTATGCATTTATAAACATGCAGATAACCTATTTACACTATTGGCAACATACAGATCAAATATACCACGTTAGAACCAAAAAAAGATGCCATGGTTTTTAGTCGCACAACGCTTGAATATTCTTATTCATAAAAAATATTCTGTACAAAAGTGTTAGCTTCAAAGAATAGAGTAAAATGCTTTTACGAGTGAAACCGCGGGGCATAGTTAGTAATACGACAATCATTGATCGAGGCCGGGCGCAGTCTGTCGCCAAACGATTTATACGACTTCAACACTTCGTAATCCTAGACTAGATCGAGTAACTTGACGACATTGCTTTACTAATATAATAAATACGAATGTTTTGATGGACGGATGGATGTTTGAAAGTGTGTCCAGAAAGGCTGCATAGATCTCAATGAAATTTGGCATACATGTAAATTATAATCTGGAGGAACACAGACTACTAATTAAGTTTTTTCTTTAATTCCGCGCGAACGAAGTCGCGGGCGACAGCTAGATCTTTATGAACAAAAAAGTTATACCACAAGCGAGACTAGACTGCATCATGTGGTCAACATGCAAACAAAATGTAAAATCCATATCAACGACTGTTCTTCCGCAACGATTTTCGTCGAAATTTCTTGTAATTAAGATTTACAAAGCACTTGGTATTCCCCAACTTTAAGACTTATGCAAAAATACCCTCCTTTAAAGCCAATCATTGAAAATTTCGTGAAATCTATATTAAACAGAATTTAATCTTCTCTTGGAATCAAATTCAATAAAAATTTAATTAAGTAGTAATCAATCTTAAAAAATATATAATAATTATTAAATTAAGTTGTCGAAAATAAAAACCAAATTAAAATTCTTAACAAAAAAATAGATGATATTTAATCTAAACAATTTAAATCTATACTTTTCTTTATTTTATCAAAACCAATAGCTTTATGAAAGTCATGATGAGAAAGTTTTGTGACTCTATTACTTCAATAGCAAACTACGTAAAATTATGCATTAATTAATAAATAGGTTAGTATACTAGCAAACTCAGCAAGTACTGATACACGAGTCATCAATTTAATTTAACCTAATGTGCGTGAGGTGAAAGCAGCCTTTCCTGAAATATTAGATAGAATTTAACTGCTACGAGAACTATTCCAATATTATAAAGACCTAGATAAACTAGTCTACTAGTCTATATTAATATTATAAAGAGGCAATATTGAAGTCAACCAACCCACACTTGGCCAGCGTGGTTGACTATGGCCTAATCACCCTTAACTTGGGGTAGGCTCTGAGCTACTCGGTGGGGACGTGTAGTGAGCTGATGATGAATATTGAACTTCATTTGTTTGCATTGAATAGATTTTCAAATTACTGAACCAATTTGAAAAAATCTTTCACTGTTGGGACTCACTTTAGCGAGAGAATTCCGTGAAATCAAAGTTAGCAAGTGCTTGTTACCACATAATATAAGAACAGCTAAACCGACTCAATTTACAGTTTTTTAATATAGCACTGAACATCCAGACATCAGCTAGTAATTGTTATGTGCTAATAAATGTTATGAATAACAGAAAAATTCAAATAAATTCAGAAATTTTAAAATACTTTTTAGAATTAATTTTCTTTTTAAATTTATAATAGTTAAAAAAATATTGTTGATGGCCATTCAACATACTTTCAGTGACTGAATCATTACTTAGAATCTCGACTTTCAGTGAACTTGTAAAATTGAATGCTTTCAAGGTTACCTTTTGTATGGCTGCTCAATGTTATATTGTTTCATTGTAATTTGATTGCAACATTATATATGGGAATGTACATATACTATATACTAGCTTTTGCACATGATTTCATCCATGCAAAATAAAAAAATCTTATTAAATAGTCTATGTGATTTTCCATGACATTATAAATGTTTCTTCAAAGTTAACAGTCACCAAACTTAATTATAATGATTTTATTTTCATTGTAAAAAAATTGTACCATGTAAGCACCATTCAATGTTCAATATAATATTAATCCTTGCATTTAATAATGAACCTAGGCTCATGTTGACAAGATAAATGTTGTCATAAACAAAAGTTACTTACTGTTATTCTTAGGGTATGTAATGTTGAGCTGAGCAGCAAACTGGACAAGGATGCATGTGACGTTTGTGCTTTGGTCTGTATAATACCAGGTGCCCTGTGTGGGCCGTGGCAGCGGGCCAGGGGCAGGCGTCGGCTTCGGCTCTGGGGCGGGAGTCACAGTTGTGGTTGGCACAGTGGTGGTATTTGGAGCTGGTTCTGTTGTAGTTGTGGGCGCAGGTGTGGAAGTTGTGGTAGTGGAGCTGGTGGTGCTCGTAGTCGGAGTCGTTGTCGTGTCAGGTTGGGGGCTCGGAGATTGCTGAGGCTCGTGTGACGGCCCTATCACATCGACCGAGGGGACGGCATCGGATATACTTTTTAGAGATGCTACGCTCGTCGGTAGATCGATTAAATCAGGTTTCTTTGTCGTTAAGCCTCCTTGACCTGCGAGAAAAATAGGTAAACTTGATCTTATTGGAATACGATACGGTATAGCATTAAAATTTGAACTTTCGTCATTAAATGCGCTTCGTTCATAGTTGTTAGCAATTGCAGAAAACGCAAAAACAACGCGACTCTAAATACGTAACGCGATAAAAGTAACAAAGAACTTGCAACACGACATGTCGAGAGTCACTTACCTATTATTACAGAACTGCAAGTTACTGCTAAGAAAATATACACTTTCAGATAACCCATTTTTCACAAAATATCTTAGACACTTTTCAAGGATAAAACGTTAGAAACGAAGAATATTCAAGAACAATTTCACAAGTGAACAGCAATTGCGGATTTTAATTTAATCCGATGCTTTCGGCTGAATGAGAAATGTCAATTTCGTTTCTTGATTATTCGACAGTGATACAAGTGACCAGTGTTACCAGCTGATAAAAATTAGTTCTACTAAAACGGTAATTTTAAAAAGTGATCCTTAACCCATTTATTATTTTCTGGGACCTGGATTCAAAATGGTTCAACACTATAGTACACTTAATTATTAAAATTCATGTAAAAACCTAATTTAAAATGACTCGATTCTCGTGAAGTTAGTCCGAATAGTTTCAAAACTGTTGGTTTTTTCTGTGTGTTCAAAACCATTTGTGTGTTTGGCCAAGTCGTGAGTTTTAAATATTTTTGCAACTAGCAACATTGAATTGCAAGAACATTGAAAAACAGACTTATCTCTGTCTAACTAATGAAAATAGATCGCTGAACAAGGACTTCCCTTTCTTTTAACCTTGAGATTATGTTGGGAATATGTCCTTTTTGATTTCGGCGGCAAAATTAAAGTTTTTTTTCGGCTATTTCGGTACAATGTGGTAGGACTTTTGAAAAATTATTTACCTTTTGATGCTAGGCAGATTTTCATTTTATACCATATTTTACTTTTATGATTTTGTATTAATTTTAATTTTTTTTTAAATTTCAAAGTGATTTGGCAGAACTTGATTACTCAACGATGCTTGTAGTCTCATTTTGATTTTATAAAATAATAAATTATAACACGTACTATATTTAATAAATTTTTATTAAAAAACACGCCAACATTTACGTAAAGTATCTTAGTATTTAAACAATTATATAACCTTATAATAATCATCAAAAATTTTAATACATTTTAAAGATTGACTTTAATTATTACACAAATTATTTGACACAATGTTCTTTTATAACTTTAACGATGTAGACACAAAAAGCACTTAATCTTAACACATTTTAAATGTTATAACAAGAGATACTTTCAGACTGATTGAAAAACTAGCAAGCAATTACAAGACTGCAATACAAATATTATGCATAATAGTAAGTTTATGTTTATATCATTATTAATTACTAATTTTATTCTAATTTCACGTAATTTTAAAATAGTTACGGGTTTGGTCAGATTTAAAACAAAACATTTCTTTACAGGGTAACACTGATCATACAATTTAGCCGCGTAATGTTATAAAAACTTACTCTCTTCATAATCAAAATGTAGTTTTGCTCTTATATTGTAGAGTAACGATGGTTAACATTTTATTAATTATTAGATTCAAATGAGTAATAGCAACCATAAAATAATGTACAACTTATTAAGTAAGTAATATCAAGGAATAGGAATTTATTCAACGTATATTTCGAAGCGCGCGCGGCCGACACGGCTGGTGCGGTCGTAAAGGATGTCTCGGGTCCAGATCCTGCACTCCACGTTGATCAAAACACCACCTGATCGCAACAAAGCAAATTATCGTTTTAATACCAGACGGTAAACTTATAATGAGAGTTATCTTAATGTTATGAGTCAGCATTTAGTATGATTTGAAATTTTATTAATGATATATTTTTTGACGCTCTAACCATAACGCTTCAATCATGTTTAGGTTGAAAAAAGTTTGTATCATACAAACGTACGTCGTGGGTTTTCAAAGAGTAGCGCGATGAGTGGTCCGGGCAATGGGTCAGGTTGCGCGCGCGCGGCACGTGGGATGCGGTCGGCGGTGTGCAGGCGAGCGGTGGGGAAGCCAGGGGGCAGTCCCGCGGGTATATACTGCAGTGGGCCTACATTCTCCTGGTCCGAGCTGAACTCGCCGCCGCACGACACCCACACGTAGTCACCGTATACGTGCGCAGGGCGTTGCATCTGCAAACACCAAATGATAGCTAATATTCAAATATTATCGGAAACTCAGGAATTAACGATAAGGGATCAGATGGAAACTACAGCATTATTTTCTATTTGTAGCTTTCCACACTGGAAAAATATCTTTTTTAAAATCGCGTGATTTATTTCAATAGTAATGAATGTTTACTGACCATCATCTGCTTGATGTTGTTGGGCATGTCAGGTGGCAGGGCTAGCGGCAGAGACACGTTGTACGGTTCCGGTACCCAGTAGTGGATCTGAGGCCAAAACAATCTTTATCCTCATATACAGAAAAAAAGCTGTTATTACCAGATTTACTTATGTCTTGCATTGTAACCAAAATGACTACTAAACTTACATGCGACAGCCTGAGAAAGACGCAGGGCGTACCATCGCGGTAGCCGTAGAAGTTGTCAGCGATGCAGGGCGCCCACACGGCCAGCGCGCGTTCACAGTTGGGGCTAGGCACGCGCTGGTCGTGGCGCAGTGTAGAGCAGGGCGCGCGCGGCGGCTCCTCCGGAACATTCGTCTCGTACGCTGATCAAATTAAATGTTAGTTTATGATGTTTTGTAGCAGAAAACATTACACACAAGAGTTGCTCACCACGGAGGAAGTCATTGATGCGGTTGTACCAGGGATGCCAGCTGCCGGGGTCGTTGACGCGGAACTGGATAAGCGGTTGCTCCCGATTGTACTCATCTGATCGCGGCCATACCTCCAGCTCTGCACATAGACAATATTATTTATAGTAGAAGAGAAGACGACCACTTCGAACCATACACGTCGCTAGAAATAAAATAGAAAATGGCGATAAAAAGAGTTTTCGGATAATGTCAGAATTTTATGCCCTTTGTGTCGTTAAAAGGTTTGAGATTGACACCAACGCGCTCATCAATATTGGTCGTTAATTTCGTATGACAAACACGTTGAACGTAAAACTGTTTTGTTTAACTTTAATAGTACTTTATTCGCTCGCAGCTTTTCTTTTTTAAAGTTATCATATACAAATATAATATGTATTTAGTTATCTTTATCTTGGTACTTACCAACGTATCGGTACGGCAGAACAAGTCCAAGTACCAAGCCGATTATTGCTCCTGCAAAATTAATTACAACGTTAATTACACCGCCTCGAAAGTGAACGACACCGAAGCGAAGCCTTTCGCGAAAGAAAACAAAGTTCCACATGTAGTTATCCCGCACATTCTCTCAGGAAATACTGAAACAACAACCGAATTTTGATAAAGTCTCGAGCTGTAAGCCTAGTTATTAGATGTACTGCTGGAACAAACCAATTGTACCTGGTTCATAACAAATAGAGTTCGGTTCGATTCTGGTTCCGTTTAACGACAGTGTACGTTAAAAGTTATATTTTAAAATAAGTATATTAGTTTTTAGTTCATTTTAGAATCGTGTATCACATGTAATGAAGATTTCAAATCCTTTTACATTTAATTCCGTGTAAAAGCTATTTATTTGCAATGCAATATTTGCCGTAAATGTCCGACACAGTAAGTGCATTAGCTCATTAATATCCTGGCAACATTGCGTTGCCGCGGAAAGTCCGCCAGATCCAATAAAGGCGAGGATTAACGCGAACAATGGACCTGTTTGACTAATGGATAGTCGATAGCTATTAGCTTACACCTATATCCTAGTTTTATAAGTCCTAGGATTATTAATTAATTTATGGATTATTAAAATACTTTACTTTAAGTTATAAAATATTTCCGATAAGCAATTTACAATACTCTTCTGCCTAATACGACTATATGATCCATCTTAAGTACAAATAATTAGGGTTCAACAGAAAACTAACCAAAGCTCCCCACACTATCATATTAATTCTATTATCTTACACCAGATCTTACGTCGAATTAGCCCTAACTCTAAACGGTGTAAAACCAAAGTTCAATTACTGTAGATCCAAAATAATTTTGATGCATAACTACGACACTATCTAAATTTATACATTTTAAAAACTTTGCCTATGAAAGACTACCTTAATTAAGTTGAAGGCTTTGTAGCAACTGCGTAGCTTCATGTCGATGCTACGCCGTAACTACCGTTCGGTTCTTCCGAACTCGGCACACGGCCCTTCAAGTAGTAAAACTTATTTATTTATTATATTTCAGTGTAAAATAAAATCATTTCATTGATTTTTATAATATAATTTACTTGTTCGAACGTTATGAAACCAAAGTAATATACAGGTCACGATATAATGTTAAGATATTCATAAAAACACTGATAAAAAAATAAGATTTTTCCGCAAGCAACTAATTACTTTTAGTTTGTTTAGTCTTACGAATCTCAAATTTTACATTTTTTTGTAATGTAAAAACTTCATAAGTATTTTTTTCCTTTAAAATTAAGAAAAATAATTACATCTTTTATCGGAGTATTTAACTGGGTTAAGCAAAAAAAACTAATGGGTATTTAAAATACATAATTAGTAAAGTTAAATTGGTCTTTAATAAAATACTCATTTACTTTTATTAAAACAAAATTTAGTCAACGAAAATTGTTAAATTTTAAAATTACTATAATATATATTAATAATTTACTATATACTTTAAAATACTTTAAATAATCCAAAAAAATCTTACCAATCACCAATAATAATACAGCAACGCACACTATGATCTTTATGGTTCTCTTTTCGAAACCCATTTTGAAGTATATTTCCTTTGTCTCCTTATTCCTGGATCCCAGTTCCAAGTTCCCGGTTCCCGGTTCCCTGGTGCCGCGCTGAAGTGTCGAGAGCGACTGCCGTGGCTGCCGGCACGACTCTCCCAACAGGAAATGGGATCACAAAACATCGTAACATCACAGACGTTTTACATTGAAGGCTTTGTATGGATGTTATATTAAAGTTAATTAATCTGTTTATAGTTTGGATTATTACTTACTAACTTATAAAGTTTAGTATTTATATACCTCAACTGACTTGATTAATTTAAATAAGTTATTGTTAACAAATTCTAAGTGTAATAATTGAATAGAAAATTAGATTGTCTTTGATGACGCGAGGTCGTGACCTTCTTCATCTATTACAATTAAAAAAATATCGATTAAATTATTAGAATGTGAATAATCGTAATTTCACAATTAATCACTTATCATTTTGGTAAATGCATAAACGTAAAAGCTTCTAGATTTTTCTCTGATGTCAAGTTGAATCACTTCTACGTACTGGTTTTACGTAATAAAATTTTGTGCGTATTTAAAACTATAATCTATTCAAATAAATAAACATGGTATAATCAATGGAGGTTCCGCAGACGAGGACGAGGGGCTGGCGCCTGTGACGTCGCCGCCCTGGCGCCTTACAGATACTACGCTAACATTTCACCAATGCCACAGTGCACAAAACTCAGCTGTATCATTCGCCAAAAACAACAAACACGTTGTAAGTGTTTTTAGACATTATTTTGGGTGATATTATTACCACTACAATTATTCACTACTTTTAGTACTAATGTTATATTTGCGTAAATGTATGTGCATAAGAGTCAAAGAGAATTATTGGTAAATTTAAACAAACTTTTCAACTTCAAGAATTACTTAGTAAAAATTCGAATAGTCGTATAAGTAACATACGCTACATTAAATATACAAACTGCTTATTAGATTGTATCTCATCTTTTACAAAAACTGTAAAAATTATTTAAATGGTTCTACTTAAATTTGTTAAGCTGTGTACGTTTTTAGCATGGTGCGACGTAAAACAGGGGATGTCGTGCCATTGTTACGTAATGGACAGAACATCGACAATATTTAGAGACAATAGGATATTAAGTTACTCAAAAGACAAGGTGTTAATGCTTACAATGATGATACAACAATATACTTCACATCCAAAGCCATAAAAAAGTAATCTAATACTAAAAGGTTTTTCATTAAGACTATTGAATGTACCCATACGCGTTTATCACCGTTTTCTATTGTAGGCATATTTACTTGCATCAGCGCGTATTATGTTTAGTTTGTCAAAAAGTATCTTCAAAGAGAGACAAAGTTTGTGTTGGAGCATGTATAAAAAGGCTTCCAGACCAAATAACTGAATAAATAATTATCGTAAGTAGGTACTTAGTTAATGTTTATAAGATAAAAATATAACCCCATGACCTGATTCCAGATCGAGTGAACGTAATGCCTCAGACTGTCTGTCGCCGTTTCATTGTTTGTCAGTCTCATTGTATTAGTATCGATTACTATATTTACTAAAACATAAAGAAACTTTAACGTAGATTAACTAATTCTACAAATAATTAAGTACTTGTAGATATATGCACACGCCAATAACCCAGAGGTATAGGTAGTGATTGCATTGAATTGGTAATTCAATGGTAAGAAGGACCTCTCGCTTTGTGTACTTTCACGTATACATTGATGCACTTTTCTTCATCATGTCATTCACCTAATCTGTACAATTATTTACTTCGCAACATAATTTTCTATTGCCAATCTATATTTATTCATCCTTTTAACGTGCTTACAACATGTCGGGAACCTCAAATATCATTGTTAAATATAATTGATTTGATGGTTATTCTATAAATATTTATATTTATTTATCAAAAATCCAGGTAATTGCTAGATATTAAAATTATTCCATTGTTTACATGGTATAAATCAGTACGTGTCTCATAAGTTCTTTGTCCGCTATATGGGTCGGGGCTCTGCGCGGGCCGACAGCTCGGCGCCGGTTCTGGCGAATTCGTTGCCAATGAGGGGGATGTTTTCAGATAAATTTGATATTATATTTATCGTATCAAAATTACGAAATACAATGGACCCTTAATTAAGTTGATATATAAGATATTATATGTCTAGAAAAATATTGAATTTATTTCGACCGATGGGGACTTTTCAGGGTTACCATATAATGGTTTATCACATTCCTACCAATTTTCAGTTCTATGCGAATTATAATTCTTAATCTTAATTTCCCTTTTTAAATTAAATTGTTAATTTTTTTAAATTAGTGGTACTTAAAATAGTATCAATATGGAGTATGTACAATTACTATAAGATGCTAATTCTGGGTGGCAAAGTCGTTAGTTATTATACAAAAATCACAAATATGCAAATAATGATAATAGCAGAAATCATTAGTTTTCTACTTTACGTTATTTTTTAATACTGAAGAGTTTGTGATGTTGAAGAGTTTAAAAAATACTTCTCTTCCTAAAGCGCCATCTAGTGACAATGCATGATAACTTTCACTGCTCAGAATAAAAAACAATCGGTATCATAATTTTTTTTATTACGTACCTAGAAAACAAAAGAAGCTTTTCTTATTTTTTTTATTTTTGTGTCTCTTAAATAGTTTAACCATTTTAAAACAAATTGTATGCAGTTGTATATTTATACAGGTACTTAATTTTTCAGGACGTAATGTGGACTACATTACGCTCTCTTTTCTGGACTCAAAGTTGTTTGTCTAAATAAAAAACACATATTATATTAAATACTTAATTATTGAAATTAAAATGTGACACAGTCATTATCAAAAACTCAATATAAATCTCAATATAAAACATAACCTACAAACTGAGAACCTAGAAATAGTTGAACTATAAGTATAATATCTTTAAAAATCGTACGCAGACATAATCCAAACGCTGATTATAACAAAAACAAATCTAGAAAAAGGCGTTCTGAGTGCCTCATGCGACAATATTAATATACGAAGTCACAAGTCTAACTCAAAGTTATCGAATTTTCTTTCGGACAGCTGGACAAAAGTAAAACTAGAGTTCATAAGTTTTTGTGCAATAGTTCATTTTGAAACCCTATTACTTAAAATAATACATATAATCCTGATAAAAAATCTGCCTCATAGACGAAATCAACATAAAACTGGCAATTACAAATTAAGTCACGTTTTATTAGATTCCGCTAGATGGCAGCAGTTAAATAACCTAGCTCCTGATCAATATCCTTAGTAATTATAAATTTATATATTCATAGAGAGGTTATAGGAAATCTACACTAAAGTGACTTCGCTCCCTTAGTGATCACTTCAAAACTCTGAGTGCGAGAGTTACAGAAGATTATTTCAGTCTTGTTACTATTACGAATTAGTAAAGTTAGGAAGTTACATGATTTTTAGCAGGACACTGGAAAAAAACGTCCGTTGAGCTTGAGACTACAAATAGCTATAACTAAATTCAGCTAATCTCTCTTCTCCTGTAGTGTGATCTACAGATTGTCTTTTAAAAAAAAATAACCAATACATCATATATTGACCATGGATATTATGGATATATCCTCAAAGTCAAAGAAACTAAACCAGGCTCGTAAGGAAAAGGACTAGGTGAGGTAAATAAAACGCACGGAAAAGCTAAATTGAAACCAACTATTGCATATTTATTGACTCTCCGTCCAGAAAACATTACATAATAAACATTATTTAATAGTTTAAAACTTTAAGCGTGTAAACAAAACTTGAAATCAGTGGCGCCCTCTGGCTATTCTAAAACGAATATAAATAAACCGCCGACTATGTGGCTCTATTGCTAATGGCGCTTGGCAGCCGGCGCCCGGCGTGTCCGAACATGGCTTGGCATCTGCGACCCTCCCGGGATAACGTCTGCCTTGGCGGCCAATCGCTTTTATCTTTCCGTACCTAAACTTGACTATTTATTTGTGACAAAGTTAAAAATGAAAGCGGCTACACGAAGCGACTGTCAATTGGCGGGCGCGACAAGTAATGGCAGTCGTGTGGAGCGGTCGGATGCCTCGGCGCCAACTGACGGTCGCGCGGCGGAGCCCGGCCCCGGCTCTGGCCCGGCCGCCTAGGAGCGGTCCACCATCAGCTCGAAGTGCACAGAGCCGCGCCGCTCGTATCGGTCGTAGAAGATGTTCTTGGCCCACGCCTTGCATTCGATGTTGATCAGAACGCCGGCTGGAAAACAACGAGTTGAGTTTTTATATACTTTACGAACACTCCGACTGACATTTGGCAATCTGCTGAAGTACATCAGATCAAAAAATATTCTATATACACTGT